GAAGAGTTAAACCCTAAACCCCAAGCCCGAAACCCTAAACCCTAAACCTTAAACCCTAAACCCTAAACCCGAAACCCTAAACCCGAAACCCTAAACCCTAAACCCTAAACCCTAAACCCTAAACCCTAAACCCTAAACCCTAGACTTGGGGACCAGGAGCTGGCGAAGCGAGCCTTCTCCAAGCGCTTGGAGTGCAGCGCGTCCGGGGGCCCTGGAGGGCGGTGCTTTTGAGGGGCCCTAAACCCTAAACCCTAAACCCTAAACCCTAAACCCCAAACCCTAAACCCTAAACCCTAAACCCCAAACCCTAAACCCTAAACCCTAAACCCCAAACCCTAAACCCTAAACCCTAAACCCTAAACCCTAAACCCTAACCCTAAACCCTAAAACCTTGAAGGGGTTTAGGGTTCATTTAAGCCCTGGATTCTCAACTGCTTTCAGGTTTGGCTTGTGGGTTTGGGGTGTGACTATAGTTACCCTAGGTACAAGCCCAGTTATAAGTACCCATGAACCGCCAAGTAAATCCTAAACCTTAGCCCTAAACCCTAAGCCCTAAACCCTAAACGTACCCATGAACCCAAGCAAATCCTAAACTCGAAGCCCTAAACCCTAAACCCTAAACCCTAAACCCTAAGCCCTAAGCCCTAAACCCTAGGTCCTAAACCCTGAGTTCCTTGCACCGGTCGTGGTGCTAAGAGGCAAGACTTGCAAGGCATCGAGATCGGAGATCCCTAAACCCCAGACCCCTGGGAGGATCCAAAAAGCAGATCCCCTTAAGGGTTTAGGGTTTAGGGTTTCCTCAAAATGACCCAATGGTAGTCTAGGGTACTATTTGGGGTTCTACTTTTTGGATCCTCCCAGGGGTTTGGGTCCGTGTCTCTTGCGTGGAAAATCCGCCCCTCTCTGCAGTCGCACTGCAATGAACCCTAAACCCTAAACCCTAAACCCTAAACCCTAAACCCTAAACCCTAAACCCTAAACCCTAAACCCTAAACCCTAAACCCTAAACCCTAAACCCTAAACCCTAAACCCTGAACCCTAAGCCCTTCTGCTTGAGGTACCATGTGCTCATTGGACTGCACCTGGCCCGGGCACCAAGCGAGGGAGAGGGGTGGGGCAGAAGGACGCAGTTTAGGGTTTGGGATTTAGGGTTTAGGGTTTAGGGTTCAGGGTTCAGGGTTCAGGGTGAACCCTGAAGCCCTAAGCCCGACAATCCCCACCCAGAAGCCCTGTGAGGACCGCGACAGCGGATTTCCTCTTACATAGGGGGCTTCCGAAACTGAAGGGACTAAGACTATCCAGTAATTCTTGTCGAGACCCACCTAGGGGTCTGGGACAGCAGCCCTGACTCCAACCGCGAAGCCCTGAACCCTTCCGCACTCGCACCGCGTTTAGGGTTCAGCGTTTAGGGTTGAGGAGGGCTTAGGGTTTAGGGTTTGGGGAGGGTTTAGGGTTTAGGGTATCTGAAGTTGGGGGTCGGACCCTGAACCTCTACAGCTTCAACTCCACCTAGGCGTCTGGGCTTTTGTGCATCCCTAAACCCTAAACCCTAAACCCTAAACCCTAAACCCTAAACCCTAAACCCTAAACCCTAAACCCTAAACCCTAAACCCTAAACCCTAAACCCTATACCCTATACCCTATACCCTATACCCTAAACCCTATACCCTAAACCCTAAACCTCAAACCCTACATAAACCATAAACCCTAAACCCTAAACCCCAAACCCTAAGTCGACAACTGGAAGTCTCGTCCTTAGTTCCGCAGCTGTCTGCCATGGCTAAGCATCATATTCCAGATTTCTGGGAGGATCCGAGAAGTAGAGCCCCCGAATAGTGCCCTATACTACTCTTGGGTCATTTCTGTGAAGTGCATGCTTGCACTTAGTGACACGTTAGGAACGAATGCCGCGTGTTGCAGGCGTTCGTTGCTCAAGTGATGTAGCAACGTAATGCCGCGTGTTGCAGGCACTCGTTGCTGAGGTGATGTACCAACGTAGCCTCTTCTTGAAAAGGCCCGCCCGCTCCACCCTATTTGAAGGATTGTGGGGTGTCGAGCGCTCTTGGCTGCCGTAAGCGCAAGCCAAGGTGCGACTCTGTGACGCCGCCTGCGCGTTTATGCATGCAAAAATGTGATAGCGCGCATCTCGAGCTCGTGTGAGGTCGCGTTGCTTGTTGTGTACACTTGAGGCATAGTTCCAGTGTCAGGTACCCTTAAGGGGATCTACTTCTTGGATCCTACCCTGCACAACTCCCAAGCGCTGCAGGCCCCACAGCAAACTCCAAAAAGCTGGAGCATCCTCATCCCCATACCCCAAAAGGTAAACCCTAAACCCTAAACCCTAAACCCTAAACCCTAAACCCTAAACCCTAAACCCTAAACCCTAAACCCTAAACCCTAAACCCTAAACCCTAAACCCTAAACCTTGTTCCAGCCTTTTGGAGTTGACCGGCCAAGCACCTACCGCACCCTTAACCCCTAAACCCCTAAACCCCTAAACCCTAAACCCCAAACCCTAAACCCTAAACCCTAAACCCTACACCTAAACCCTAAACCCTAAACCCTACACCCTACACCCTACACCTAACACCTAAACCCTAAACCCTAAACCCTAAACCCTAAACCCTAAACCCTACACCTAAACCCTAAACCCTAAACCCTACACCCTATACCCTACACCCTACACCTAAACCCTAAACCCTAAACCCTAAACCCTAAACCCTAAACCCTAAACCCTAAACCCTAAACCCTAGACCCATCCGTGGAGCTCCAAGGAATCGGGTCAGCTCAACGATGCTCTGCGGATCATGAAGAAGGCCCTGCGCGCGACATAGGGTTTAGGGTTTAGGGTTTAGGGTTTAGGGGTTAGGGGTTTAGGGTTTAGGGCTTGGGGCTTAGGGTTTACGGTTTAGGGAACTCCAGTCCTTTTCTCTTGCTTCTACTTGCACCTCAAGGGTTTAGGGTTTAGGGTTTGGGGTTTAGGGTTTAGGGTTTGAAGTGCAGACATACTTGGGATGTAAGTTGCATGAACCTCCAAGTAAGCCTCAAAGTTAGGGGTTTGGGGCTTGGGGTTTAGGGTTTAGGGCAGAAAACTCTGGGCCCTGAACCCCCCCAAAGCCCAGGTAAACAAACCCTAAACCCTAAACCCTAAACCCTAAACCCTAAACCCTAAACCCTAATCTCTAACCCCAAAACCCAAACCCAAAACCCTCAACCCTAAACCCTAAACCCTAAAAACCCTAAAGGCTACTGGGGAACCAGCCCGTTTGAGGAATGTCGTGATGGCCCACTTCTAATCGTATCCCCTAACGCCACTCCACTTCCCTCCAGCCTTAAACCCTAGACCCTAAACACCCTAAACACCCTAAAAACCCTAAACCCAAAAAGCATTAAAAATGCTTCCACGCAGCCCTCGCGAAGGGGTTAGGATGTTTAGGGTGTAGGGTTTAGGGTTTAGGGTTTAGGGTGGGGGTCAACGTCAGGGAGTGCGCTTTTATGATTTCAGGGCTCCTAGCCGAAGCACTCAACTCTCAACACTTCAGCCCTATGCCCTAAACCCCTTACCTGGAGGTTCGTGGGTAGTTGTGTAAGTAGAGTTCTAAGTAGGGTAACGACAGCTGCAGTTGGGTTGTTGCCTTCTTCAGGGCAACTGATATACCCCTAAAACCCTAAACCCTAAACCCTAACACCCTGAACCGTTTTTGAAACTGCCCGGGAACCTCCCAAACCTTTCAGCCGAAAGAGGCTCTCACGTGTTCCCGGCAAGAGGGCAACAAGCAGGCCTCGGGGCCTGAAAATCGGCATCTTTCTGGGCAGTTCAGGGTTTACTAAGGGGCAGAGGGACCCCTAGAAGGGAGCCTTAATCTTATTCCCCTATTTCACTTTTCGAACCTGTTTTTATACCTTATATGGCCCCTATATATTTAAGTAGACCCTTAGTTTCCCCCAAAAAACCCTTAGGTCCCTAATAAGGGTCCCTGTCCCTTGGTTTTGGCGGGCGTTTAAGGTGCGTAGGGTTCTGGGATCGGACGCGAGGACGGGCAAACAAAGCCTTTGAGGGGATTTTCAGGATTTCTTTTTGCTTTTATTTTATTTGTTTATTTTTTTTGGGGGGGGGTGTTGGGGTTTGTGGTTCAGGTTTTAGGGGTTTAGGGTCTCTAGCTCAAGGGTGCACCCCCAACGTTTGCCCCGCAGCAGCTGGGGCGCAATGTCGAAAAGCATGGCGGGGTGCTGAAAACACTGGCAGGGGCGACAAACATGGCGGTTCCGTTTTCGGCTTTCAAGAGGCGTCTGCGTCCAAGAAGGAGACCTGATTCCACAGATCCTTGGGTGACACGGTGCGCGGTAGAAATTCTGATACGCCACCACAGCGGCAGCTATCTTTTCAAGCCCCAGTTCCTGTTGCAAAAAATGGGCGCTGAGCCCGTCAATGTGGCAGCAACTCTTTTTCGAGCTGCTGCGTCCCAACATGTTACATCTCCGGAGCATGCGCTTCAGAGACGCTACTTGACTTTCACAGCGTTGGTCTCCGCCGATCATCGTGACACTGCGCCGGTTGATCTTAGCTCTTTTACAGGCCTTGATCGACTTGAGAACCCTGGCTGACAGCAACTTGGTTTGAAGGCGCACTACTGGAGTGTAATGTGCCTTGCTATGACAAGCAGTCGCTGCTTGCACGCCCATGATGCGCCATGCTCTGCCAAGGCCAGTAGATTGGTCGCTTCCGACCCTGTGGCTGCCAGGCTGCAACTTCTTTGCAACCCACGGAAGGACCTCCGCCGTCGTCTCCGGAGGACCTATCAAGTGGAAAAGGGTTCGGGCTAAGGATGGAGGGATTTTAGGGTTTTGGGTTTAGGGTTAAGGGTTTAGGGTTTAGGATTTAGAGTTTAGGGTTAAGGGTTTACGGGTCTTGGGTTAAGGGTTTGGGTTAAGGGTTTAGGGTTTGGGTTAAGGTTGGAGGCCTGGAAGCAAGCTGTTTTGTGTCCTGCAAGGCAAAAGGTCTACAGCTCGTCCTGTACAGTACTCGGGTGGTTGAGCAAGCCCGCCACAAGCAAAGAAAGATCCTCTAAGATAGCTCTCCAAGGCAAGAAGAGGTGAAGCGTGCCCTGCGTGTGCTCGAAGATGGCACGGCGTTGCCAAACTTCATCCAACACCAGAGCCACTTCCCGGTGCAGGACATCTAGTTGAGGTCGCCAAGCAGCGCCGCCCCATGCACGCACTTGCAAACGGAAAGTTTGATGAAAGGGCATACGAACAAGAGGCGGCAAAGGACAATCTCCAACTGTGACAACTCTGTCCTCCCTGGCATACACGCAGGCCAGAACGTGAGCAGACAAAGTGAGAACGTCCAGCTCGCGCTGACTTTGCTGAGGTCCCAAAGTGCGACGTATGTCGTAGCAGGACATGGTGACTCGAAGCATTCGCAGCAGATGGGAGGCTCGCCAGTGCTGTCTGAAATTGCCGTCCGGGATAAAGAGGTCAAGTGCCGTCAGCAGAGAAGCCCCCAAAGCCAGAACAAAGTCTTCTGCGACTTCCAAGGATATGGCATGTAAGATGAAGGTGACATGAACATGGACTACGGAACTGAAACAAAGCTGCAGCCGAGAGGTGCGGGGTGCGGAGAGCAGAGGGGTGGGAGCACAGAGAAGCAAAAGGCATGCAAAACTTGCCCTGGGAAAACGCGCGTGGACCCCGGCCTGGTGCTGACATCTTTGTTTTCCTGTCCGGCAGCGGCAAGAAAACCGTGGCAGAACTTGTCCTGCAATGGAGAAGTGTGTTAGGGAAGAATATGTTGAGGTCAAGGCTGCGTAAAGGGTTGACATGGTCGGGTTTAGGTGTTGAGGGTGGGCATCGTCCTGTGGGTGGCAATGAGAAAACGTCCGAGGTGAAGAGTCTCGCGTTGAGCAGGATTCTTGCGACCTGAGGACCTCATGCCATCGAACTCGATCACTCCGGCAGGGAAACGAGTGGCCAGGTTGTTCTGCATCTGCTGAAAAGCTCCTGCGGTTCGAAGCTTCTAGAACAGATTCTCGGCAAAGTGGTGGTTGCGGCCCATGAGGAGGCCTGCTACGTCTACCGGCACGCGCGTGGACCACACGTACATCCCCCGGACCAGCCCTTGGCAGTCCGGCCCAGCCCCTCCGCTCAGGAGCGAGAAGCACAGGGTGTGCCCATACTTGTAGTCTATACCTTGGAAACTGCGAAACCGCCAAGGAAAAAGAGCCTTGTCTTATTCTCATATCACAACTTGCGAACACAGCAGGCAAGGCACGAGGTCGATGGGCGCCGCAGGCACGATTTTGGCAGCGAAGTACGAAAGAACGCCCAGTAGCAGCCATGCTGCTGCCACAGCTCCAGCATTCTCGGCCGCGTCGCTGACCGAAGAAGCCATGGCGTGCAAGCCACGCCTGTGTCAGAAACAAAAGAAAAGCCAGACAGGGTTCATGCGGGGTTTAAGGTTGCCGGCAAAGTTTCAGGTTTGTATACGGTTTTAGGGTTACATGAGGGTCCAGGGTTTGCGTCAGAACACCAGTCCCGACAGCGCTTCTCTGACCAGGCACAGACCTCAGGAAAAGAGATCTGTTTCAAGTCCCGCAGCTTGTGACCGCGGCATTTGGCGCAGCCTCGGTAGCTTAGCCCCAGCTTGTGGAATTGCTTGTTGGTCCCGTCGGAGCGAGCGATCTTCTGAGACTGCGGTTTCCGACGACCGGAAGAGTAACGGCCGGGCCCATCTTTCAAGGAGCCTTTCATGTCTAACCCCGTTTACCCCAAGAAACAGCCAAGAAAGAGCCTGTGCCAAAAACTAAACTGCAGAGTGCAATTGGAATGTGGAAGCTGCTCTGCACACTGTCGACATCAGACTGAGCTGAACAGAAGACATGGCAACGCCACGCATGTTTCAGCGACGGCCAACCTGCTTGCGCGCAGCACCCCTTGAGAGCGCAAAGCCTAAACTGAGCATACCAGCACTTGGCCTGCCCACCTCTGGGCCAAAACTGTGCACAGCGAAGAAACAGCTGTCCTCTGGTGAGACCACTTCGCACAAGGTGGGGCTGAAGGCTCCTGCGCTCGTGGAACGGACAGCCGCCCCAGCGGAACTTCTGCTGCTTCTTGTTGCAACAGGGCACCGAGCATCGTCTCAAATCCTCCAGTTCAGCACTCTCCTCCTTCAGCTGCTGAAGGATGTAAGGCGGGATGCTCGGCTGCTCCGCAGACTGCGAACTAGAACTGTCGACATCGAGCACAGACGGGCTGTACTCCTCAATGTCATCCACAGACGAAGAGGAGGAAGCAAAGGCCTCATCTCCACTGCAGCGTTCCATCTGCGCTTCCAGGCATCGACGCCGTCGAATTTCTTCTGTCGTCAGCGGGGACAAAAAATGTCCTCGATGCCAGCTGCACCACGAACCACTCGCTGTCTTGCTGGAGAGCGAGAACGAGCCATGGCCCAAAGCAGAAGCAAAACCCCGAGACCAAGGCACCCCGAACCTCACTTACCAACGCCTCTGAAAGTCTGAGCAACCCGCAGGCAAATGTTTCATGAGCCCCTAGGACGATCTGAACCAGAACCTGTCATGAACCTTCAGGAAGATGTATGCAAGTGGAAGAGCTCGATCAAGAAAGGATGCCTGCAGACAGAAAAGTGCGGGCAAGCGTTGGGGGTGGACCCTAGCTCAAGGGTTTCACCCTGGGCAAGGGAGTCCGAGAGACCTGCGGGTAGAGCTCTCCACAGGCCCTCAACAAAAACCCGAAACCCTAAACCCTGAACCTTAAACCCAAATCCTTCTTAGGCCCAAGAAACATGCCGGCTCTTTCTTTCCCCGAAGTCCACAAGCCCCAATCCCTAAACCGCAAACCCGCAAAAGCCCAAACCCACCAAAATCCCTCAACCGCCACAAAAGCACTACATGCATTGGGATGTTCCCCCTTTTACTAAGCGTCCTGAATAGGGATTATAGTACCCCTAAACCCTAAACCCTAAACCCGAAGCCCGAAACACGAAACCCGAAACCCTAAACCCTCAACCCTAAACCCTAACCCTAAACCCCTATTAGAATACCTAAAAAGGACTGTTAGTATAACGGGGAACATCCCAACCCAAGCCCAGACCAGCTCAATATCCTTGGCTTCGAAGGAGGAGGCGAAGTGCCTCCTGCTCGCGGTAATGGTCAACTTAGCCATTGCGAACAAGGTGGGGGGGGGGGGTTTAGGGTTTAGGGTTTAGGGTTTAGGGTTTAAGGTTAGGGTTTAGGGTGGGGGGGTTCCCAAAAAAACGAGGGCGTAGGGTTAGGGTCTCATACTGGGTTCTTGTTAAACTTAGCTTAAGTGAAAAGGCTTTTTTTGCAAAGAAAGTACCCGTATTGCCACAACTTACTTGCGGTAAACCCTAAACCCTAACCTTAACCCTAAACCCTAAACCCTAAACCCTGAACCCTAGACCCTAAAGCCTACACCCTAAAGCCTAAACCCTAAACCCCAACCTTCTCAAGCACCCCAACCTTCCGCAAACCCCCTTACCGGTCTGGGCCGTTCACTGGCTTTCTAGGCTACTCTTCCCCCCCCCTCTCTTTCTGGGGTAGGCTTTAGGGTTTAGGGTTTCGGGTTTAGGGTTCAGGGTTTAGGGATGGGGTAGGGTTACAGGGTTTGGGGTTTAGGGTTTGCGCGTCCTGCCTAGGGTGATAGGTACAGTGTTTATGGGGTAGGCTTTAGGGTTTAGGGTTTCGGGTTTAGGGTTCAGGGTTTAGGGATGGGGTAGGGTTACAGGGTTTGGGGTTTAGGGTTTGCGCGTCCTGCCTAGGGTGATAGGTACAGCTCGAGTAATCCTTACGTCTTCTCGTCCGCATGCATGGAACCATCTGTCCTATACCCTGAAAGCCTTAAACGCTTATTGCCGTAAACCCTGAACCCTAAGCTATTTTTGCAACATGAAGCCTGAACGCTTCAAGAACCCTACAATCACAAAACCCCAAGCCCATGACCCTCAGCTCCTAAACCCTAAACCCTAAACCCTCAACCCTAGGCCCTAAACCCTCAACTCCTGAACTTAAACATCAGTGTACGTGCAGCCGTTCAGGTTTCAAGACCGTCCACTACACCCGAAACCCTCAACCTCAAACCCTAAACCCGAAGCCGGGGATGTCGGCGTCACACTCTGGAAGTGCAGGCGAGCGACCCTTCAGCATCCATGGTCTCGGAGGCTACTCTCTGCAGGTCGATACTAAATAGCTGAATGAGTATACTTTACACTTCTTGGGATGCTATTATCCCCTACAGAGCTGAAAGTGTACACTTTTTGGGAGGCCTATAACTCAGCAACTAAGGATATAAGCCCTATGGCAACGGGCTGGGAAGTGGTGGAAGCGGTAGCAGCCGAAGTGGGCCGCCCCGCGGAGTCCCTCATGCTGACCTCTGGTGGCTGTGTGCTGGATCTGCGTGGCCGCCTGCTGGAACAGGTGACGAACGACGAAGTCACGTATGTGGCTCAACGCTTCGGTGCGGGTCGGGCTGCAGTGAGCTTGGGGAAGATGCTTGCGAAGGACGCCTTGGATCCTGCAGATGCGTGCGCTGTTAGTGAAGTCGTCTCCTTAACCTTTGGCTTGGCCTTCAACCAGAGCTTGCAGGGGATCCAACTGCCCAGCACCCTGCAGACGTTGACGTTTGGACATGACTTCAACCAGAGCTTGCAGGGGATCCCGCTGCTGACAGCCATGCAGACGTGACGTTTGGGAGTGAGGTTCAACCAGAGCTTGCAGGGGATCCAGCTGCCCAGGACCCTGCAGACGTTGACGTTTGGACATGACTTCAACCAGAGCTTGCAGGGGATCCAGCTGCCGAGCACCCTGCAGACATTGACGCTGGGCGACCAGAGCTTGCAGGGAATCCAGCTGCCCAGCACCCTGCAGACGTTGACGTTCGGCGACAACTTCAACCAGAGCCTGGAGGGGATCCAGCTGCCCAGCACCCTGCAGACGTTGACGTTCGGCGACAAGTTCAACCGGAGCTTGGAGGGGATCCAGCTGCCCAGCACCCTGCAGACGTTGACATTCGGTCGGTACTTCAACCGGAGTTTGGAAGGGTTCCAGCTGCCTAGCACCCTGCAGACGTTGACGTTTGGACATGACTTCAACCAGAGCTTGCAGGGGATCCAGCTGCCCAGGACCCTGCAGACGTTGACGTTTGGACATGACTTCAACCAGAGCTTGCAGGGGATCCAGCTGCCGAGCACCCTGCAGACATTGACGCTGGGCGACCAGAGCTTGCAGGGAATCCAGCTGCCCAGCACCCTGCAGACGTTGACGTTCGGCGACAACTTCAACCAGAGCCTGGAGGGGATCCAGCTGCCCAGCACCCTGCAGACGTTGACGTTCGGCGACAAGTTCAACCGGAGCTTGGAGGGGATCCAGCTGCCCAGCACCCTGCAGACATTGACATTTGGCCAGGACGTCAATCAGAGCTTGGAGATGATCCAGCTGCCCGGCAGCCTGCAGACGCTGACGTTGGGACATGACTTCAGCCAGAGTTTGGAGGGGATCCAGCTGCCAAGCACTCTGCAGACGTTGACGTTTGGCTGGTGTTTCAACCAGAGCTTGGAGAGGATCCAGCTGCCCAGCACTCTGCAAACATTGACCCTTGGCTACAGGTTCAACCGGAGCTTGCAGGGGATCCAGCTGCCCAGCACCCTGCAGACGTTGACGTTTGGCGGCCACTTCAATCAGAGCTTGGAGCAGGTCCAGCTGCCCAGCACCCTGCAGACATTGACGTTTGGACATGACTTCAACCAGAGTTTGGCGGGGATCCAACTGCCTAGCACCCTGCAGACGTTGACGTTTGGCTTGACTTTCAATCAGAGTTTGGAGGGGATCAAGCTGCCCAGCAGTCTGCAAACGTTGACGTTTGGTGACAAGTTCAACCAAAGCTTGGAGGGGATCCAGCTGCCAAGCACCCTGAGGACGTTGAAGTTTGGCCTCGAGTTCAACCAGAGCTTGCAGGGAATCCAGCTGCCCAGCACCCTGCAGACGTTGACGTTTGGAGTGAAGTTCAACCAGAGCTTGCAGGGGATCCCGCTGCCCAGCGCACTGCAGACGCTGACGTTTGGACCGATGTTCAACCAGAGTTTGGAGGGGATCCAGCTGCCCAGCACCCTGCAGACGTTGAAATTTGGACATCGGAGTTTGAAGGGGGTCCAGCTCCCCAACAGCCTGCAGATTGTCCAGCTACGGTCGTTTCGTGTTGCCACCGCCATGAGCACACCGTAGGCATGCACAAGACAATGGGCATGCTTGGATGACACGAAAAAACTTAACCCTAAACCCTAAACCCTAAACCCTAAACCCTAAACCCTAAACCCTAAACCCTAAACCCTAAACCCTAAACCCTAAACCCTAAACCCTAAACCCTAAACCCAACACCTAACCCTAAACCCTAAACCTAAACACTAAACCCTAAAACCCTAAATACCCTAAACCCTAAACCCTAAAGCCCAAGCTGGGACCCTAACACTTGAACCCGAGGCCTTCGGTACAGGTGCAGCGTAGATTTTGGCTTCTCTTTGGGGGGGGGGGGGGGGGGGTACAACAAAACACCAACAACACCAACAACACCGACAACACCAATAACACCAACAACACCAACAACACCAACAACACCGACAACACCAACAACACCAACAACACCAACAACACCAACAACACCAACAACACCAACAACACCAACAACACCAACAACACCAACAGCAACGACAACACCAACAG